ACTAGATATAGGGTAGTCTGGTATATAAAAGAGGGTGACAACGTGACGGTAATGTAATGTGTGTGTAGATAGTGAGTAATTGAACTGCAGTCAGAAGTATGTTGACGTTCGTTGATATAGCGTTTGTTATAGAGCGATTGTTGAAAATAAGTGTATTGTTGCGTCAGCGAGTCACATGACTACTATGACGCAACGCTTCTAGAACTATCATGTACTTTGGCGAATGTTCAAGTTCTTACTAGATATACGGGTAGGCGGATATATAAGAGGGGACAACGTGACGCGGGAGGAGATAGATAGTGAGTAATTGATCTGCAGTCGGAGTATTATTGACGTTCGTTGCTATAGCGTTTGTTTAGCGCTATTGTTGAAGTTGAGTGTATCAGTTAAGTTATATTCGGAAAGAATAAACCAGTTTTATTAAGTAAAGGCTTGTGTCGCTTAAGTTTCGTCGGTACGAAGTTACGGAAAATCAATTAAAAAACGGAGAAGTAACAGTATCGTAAAGTTGTATTCGGAAAGAATAAACCAGTTTTATTAAGTAAGGACTTGTGTCGCTAAAGTTTCGTCGGAACGAAGTTACGGAAAGTTAATTAACAAACAGAGACGTAACAATACTTTACACAAAACCAAGTAATGTAACATAAACATTTAAATGCTGGAAACATAAATATGCATCGTCATTCATCCTGGTTTTTGTGTGTGTATGAAATATACGTCCTTTAGTCTTAAAACTACATGTTGTGGTATTTCTTTTATGCATTGCGTTATGACGTTTTGTGAAAATTATGTACGTGATAGATTAAACGGATATCATTTTCTTATTCAACATACAGGAATTACTGTAGAACATGTAAAAATATGAAGACAATTAAAACCATTGCAGGCCTGTGTAATTACTTTGAGGAATAAAGTCTCAAAATAAAACAAATCATGCATGCTGGGCAGAAGCAAGAGGAACAGGGGAAGATGACTACTCTAAAAGGCAATTTACATTTATACCCAAAAATTAGGAGAATGTGAAAATATACAAAGTCAATACCCTGACATTTATATACTTAAGCATATCTGAAATTCATTTCAATATTTAAAATAGAATATAACTAAGAAAAAACAAGACCAGCAAAAGCTTGTTTATAATTATGGCTAGCTAACAAATCCTGCTCCAAACAATAAAAGTGATTAGGCCTGAGCAAAAAATTGTTTTTGTTATTTATTCATTTCAAATTGTTGTCATGGGGAAAAGAATGATGCTATGAAACTGAAAGGCCACGTGAACGTGAAACACATTCAGACAATATGGAATTAAAGGCCTGAATATGTTGATAAACTTCATAAAATTTTAAAGGGACAAAAAGGAGCTTATTAGCCAATCAAGGATGTCCCTTCCAGATGGAGTTGATCTGACTGGATCACAGTTACAAGTGGTGTGCCTCAGGGCTCTGTGCTGGGTCATCTGCTGTTTGTGATTTATATTAATGGTATTGACTCTGGAATGACTAACAGAATTTTGAAGTTTGCAGATGACATTCAGATTTTTGGGGAGGCTAACGTTTTGAATAAAGATGCTTCAGACTTACAGAGAGATGTAAATCATTTGATGAATTGGACCAATACTTGGCAGATGAAGTTTAATTATCCAAAATGTAAGGTGATGCATGTAGGTTGTCACAATTCAAATAATTATTACAATTTAAATAGGAATATATTAAGTACTGTGGTTGAAGAAAATGATCTTGGTATTGCGATTGAAAAATCATTTAACTCATCTAAACAGTGTATTGTAACAAGCAATAGAGCTAATAGTATTTTGGGTAGCATCTATAGAAATATTGAAGACAAGACAAGGGATATTATTGTTGCTCTGTATAGATCACTGTAAGGCCTCATTTAGAGTACTGTGTACAGTTTTGTGCTCCCTTCCTCAAGAAGAACATTGAATTCTTGGAGAAGGTTCAGAAAAGAGCCACGAGAATGATACCTTGGATGGTGGGGTTGTCTTATGAGGAGAGACTAAAATCTCTAAACTTGTTTTCTCTGGAGAGGAGAAAGGTCAGAGGGGATTTGATTGAAGTGTTTAAGATTGTTTGTTTGTTTTGAATTTAACGTAAAGCTACACGAGGGCTATCTGCGCTAGCCTTCCCTAATTTAGTAGTGTAAGACTAGAGGGAAAGCAGCTAGTCATCACCACCCACCGCCAA